AAACTATTATTTGAAGCACAGTTTTTTTCCTTGCGTTCGAGGAATTCGCTTTCTTATTCCTCTGAACACTTCACAGCTTGACTAAGCAAAGATGTGTTAAGAAATATCGACAGTTTGTTCTTATTCCATCTAGTTTCAACGAACCATAAAACCACGATTAATTAATCAGTCCTAGTCATCTGAATTGTTAAGAGATATTTATCAAAGGTTATCAGGCTTCTAATCCTTCAAACAATGGGGGCGACATTCATTCCAAATAGTACAATACTCTTGATATCAAACATAACATGCTTAACTCCGCTTACTATCGTGATCAACACAATTTCAAATAAACTATTGATAAAACTTAACACGGACACTAAACATTCTAGAATATTAGTGATCATAGAAGGTAAACATTGAAATTTCATAACTATTTAATAACTTTTCCTACCTGGTGTATCAAATTCTGGCATTATTCTTATTCCTCGTAAACGAGCATAATTTAATAAATATTTCACATCGTTCGATGTATAGATTAAAAGATACGGGTGAAATGCTCCCTGAAATTAAACGTATGAAAGAATTTCAAATATATAAGATTAGTTAAAAAAAATAGAATAAATTGTATTTTTAAAAACAATGCTCTGTAGTTTAAAGTTAAATATCCTTAAATAAAAAAGCATTGCTCACAATTGATTGATCACTGGGTGGTGATCAATGTCATGTGTGTCAAGTCCTTCTCATTGCAGATCGAATGTTATCGGCCAAATTGCAATGTGGCCACTAGTTTAGGTGACTCGACATTGCGTACACTATGTTGAAATAAGATAGTGGTAGGTAGTGGAGGTAGTCAGCAGAAAACCCCGAACTCGTGTTTCGTGCTATTTGACACTTGTCAACAAGGTGTACGTGTTATCTTGAGGGAACTGATGCTCCCTGTGGTTAGGGTAACGTCTCTGACTATGAAGCTGAGTGACACGAGATCGAATCCGCTAGGGAGTATCAGTTCCCGAAAGAACAGGTACACCTTGCTGAGGAGTGTCAGGTAGCACGAAACTCGGGTCCACGGTTTCCTGTTGACTACCTCAAACCACCGTCTTAAAAAACTGCCCATACTCAGATAAACACATATTCGAAAATCTTTCTCTTAAACTTACCTTTGAAGAAAGTTTCGGAAACGTTTCAGATGCATAGGGATAAGATTGATCGTCCACAATATGCCAATGAAGTACATTCATTTTCACCATTGACATTGAATCCTTTAAAGTACAAAAGTAACCAAAGTATGAACTTTAACCATGTAAATGAAACTTATTGAGGATTTATTATGACGGATTGAAGCCAAATTTGATTACTAAAGGATATATAAGATGTCTTCGTGATTCCTTATTGCTGATCAAACGTAATTATTGATTATAAAGATCTTATTTATTAGCACAAACTATGTGATTGTTTGAAATAGCTAAATGGGTCAGATAGCCAGAACAGAGTTTGTTGACTATTGAGATCCACAATTTGACACTATAAAGAACATTACATAACGTTCTTACCCTTAATTTCTAAAGTGACACATAAAACATAACTACGTTCAAGGCATGTCTTGATAATTTATGATAAATTGAGCACTGGGTCGATTGTTATAAAGAAAATGATATAATTGTAATATCGACTCTCAACCAACACCAAGGTCAGGATTTCCAATACAAATGACAAGACAGTTCTACTGTATGTGGCGGAAACCTGGTCTATGCAAAATACTTCGGATCCGTTGGCCGGACACTATTAGCAACAACCTACTGTGGGAGAGAACAAACCAGATCCCAACGGAGAAAAAAATTAAGAAGAATAGCTGGAAGTGGATAGGACACACATTGAGGAAAGCACCCAACTGCGTCACAAGACAAGCCCTCACCTGGAACCCTCAATGCTAAAGGAGAAGAGAAAGACCAAATAACACAATTCGCCGGGAAATGGAGACATACATGAGAATAATGAACAAGAATTGGATGTAACTAGAAAAGAAGGCCCTGGACAGAGTGGGTTGGAGAATTCTGGTCGGTGGCCTATGCTCCATTAGGTGTAACAGGCGTAAGTAAGTAAGAAAGTAATTGTAATATCACAATGAATAGGGAATCAAATTTTCTAACGTTTAGTCACTTAATGTAAGTCACTTCTTCAGAGAATAAATTACCAAATCAAAATTCATCCAAGTTTTTGTACTATTTAAACTTGAATGAATTTTAATTTGGTTATTCAATCTTTAAAGAGGTGGCTTACATTGAGTCATGGAACGTCAGAAAATTTGGTTTTCTACTCATTAAGATATTACAATTATATTTTTTGATTTATAATTATATCCATTTATACATTCTGTTACTAAAGTAGATTATGTCATAAACATGTTATACACTCTGATGTCTAATCCGTATAAACATTTTATTGAAAATATCATCAAAATGTAGATAAATATCCTCAAACTGCACATTTAAATTTCACTGAAGACATGAAATCCTCAGAACAGTCTCAACATCTCCTAAGAGATATATATAACCCATCATTTCCTGGTAATTTCATCACCTTGGCGACTGGAGTCGTTATCTGTGGGGGGGGGGCTATCTACTTAAATCATAAAATTAGTGAACTTCACACATAATCAATTAGAATATATAGTGATTAGACAGACAGGTCTAATCTGGTATCTGTTATATTCTAGTGAAGATTAAATCATAAGTAACTTCTGGGAACTATTAAAAGACTAATATTATGTGTATATGCTTATTATATAACTATTCAGTAACTAGATTACGTATATCTATATTCATCTTATTATAAGCTTTATTTCGATCTAAAAACTATTATGATACGATTTATTATTCTTAAATTATACTCAGTTTATTGATTACAGTCCCTAATGTTCACAGCCACTTATCGGTTTGATCTTGTACAAATGTTTTATCCTATTTTATTGTATGATGTGATCTGTTTGGCTGGTATATAAACCAATTATGTTCGAAATAAATGATTCGCATATTGGAAGCTATAATTGGCCTTTTGGACTCAGCTGGCAGAGCTAGGTGGAAAAGGACCAGTAAAGACGCTGGGCTAGTCGTACCGGTCGAACGTCATTGGGTTGACACAGTGTTAAGATTATATACGTCCTGTTCCAATCGGCAAATAAGTCACGTGATAATTAGCCGTGTCAAGTCAAAACAATATCCGACCATGAGTTAACACGTTTTAAGTCTACTATTCTTGATATCTTCAATCATCATAGAAAATAACTTAAACTGTTCAACATCTATCAATATCAAATAATAATGCTTCCTGACAGCGGTGAAGGAATAGCTCTGATGGATCGTAAAATCTACGTTGATAAGGCGTCAAATCTTTTATCTCTAAGCATATTAAACAAAAAATAAGACTAAAATGATTTTTAAAAAAACTAAGTGAGATAATGATATCGTAACGTTAACGTACTGTTTACAAAAAATATTACTGTGATTCCATTTAAATGAACAATTTAAATCAAGAATATAATCTACAGACAAAAGGATGATATAGTTATGGGTTTCTCTCTTGCTCAACTACTAGTAGACTGTATAATGGTCATTTCGGAAAACGAACAACTAAAGACAACTGCTGACACTATCTATCTACACAAAGAAAATATAAGTAATCTTTTTGTTATCTGTGATGATAAATGTGGTTCAAATCACATTATACAGACACTCAACAAATGCCACCTGGTAGTAAACCTAACACTTAAAATGGAAAATAAACTGAACAGTTACTTTATGGATGATGTAATTATCAGAGAAACTGATAGAACTCTAAGATCTGTTTACAGAAAACCTTCATGGAGTGGTTCGTATTAAAAAAATGGTTTACATGTACAATGGCTTCAAAGGTAACACAGCTTCGGATATCTTGGAAAGATAAATTTCTATTTCCCTATAAAGGGCATTATTTACAACAACCACATGGTTAGTATGCTACAGTTGATCAGTATTTAACGACGACCTAAAGGATAAGCTCTCACATTTAACCACTTCTATGTGTATTTATCAACCAACTTACACCTAAACAGCCAGGTAATACGGGTTGCTTGGTGTAAGTTTTTCTCAAGAAGATTGAAGGACATTATCTAGTATAGTCGAAATTAAGCAGAAGTGGATCAATGAGACACCACAAAATTGAAGAAATTATGAATATGGATCATCAGATCACAGCAGGCTCAGGGATCCAAATCATGTAAAAGGTGAACAAAAACTTTCTAAATACGTCAAGCTTCTGTTTTCTAAACATTACTGGAGCCATTGTGACACATTTAGAAAAACCCAAACTATGTAAACAAAAGAAACCTGTTCAACCTATTCGTATTTGGTTTTAATTTTCAAAATTAGTTTCCCTCTCTATCTGCTTCACTAGTGACATTTTTTCTCTCAACCGAATTATTTCCTTTCTATGCCCTCTCTTATTACATTTCATTTTTATTTCAATATTATGCAATCCTTTTTCCCAATTATTATTTTCTGATTGAAATCATGAGTCAGTTGAAGGTAGACCACCATGGAAAACCTGGAAGCACTGGACAGCCATTTTGTCCTATTGTGGAACTCCTCAGTGGGAGTCCACATCCACGACCTCCTCCCCTGCGAGATTCGAACCCAGGACCTACTGGTTTTGCGCAAGTGAGCACTTAACCATTAGACCACTGAGCCGGCCAGCAACCAACGGTGTTAATGTCTATTTTCAACTAATCCACGAAATCGAGCCACACATATAACGTTTGAATAATAGTAGCTAGATTAATCATTTCATACAATCTAGTTAATATGAGTGTTTCAAATAGTTTAGTTATACTTTAATGAGAGCTATAAGTGTGTAGATATTAAACATAAATATTAAAAAAATTTCTTCAGATAATGTTTTAAACTTACAAGGAATTTCTCAATCTCCTTCAATGATAAATAATGTCTAGATTGATAGATTCAGAAGGCCATAATTCACCATTTGACTCGTTACATCCCCTAGTGACTGATAATTTGATGGTATCGATTGTAGAATTTGATAAACAAATAGGAACTTTAGGATATTGTTTTATTAATGTGAGACGTTCTTCAAAACGTTTTAATGCTTCCGTTAAAATATAACAGCTTTTGTATGAATGATTGTACGTCAACACTTCAATAAGATTATGATAAATTCCTGTCTTATGATGTTCATAAGCTTTAGGGATTATGGAATGACATTTAGAAATATAATTAACTACAATAAACAATAAGTATAGAAAACAAGTTATGGAAGATTTCATGACTCTTTCTAGTTCGACTGTGTAAGCGCAATTTGTACTTATATATTCACTATTACTGAGCAATCAAAATTGAATCGATGCTATCTCATATATGAATGGTCGAATCGTTTGCAAATACTAACAGATCTGCATCACTTCACTATTTTAATCATGAAAACATGATTGATGGGTGTTCATTTAAAATGTTCACGATAACATTCAATAACTTAAATAGAAAGCTTGAACAAGTACTTTCTCAATATAAATGTGTAACTTGGAATGTTACAATCAGGTTCTAATAGTTCATTATAAATAAAGTATAGCGACAGATTATCAATTGGGTGTTTATTCATTCATTCATACATTCAACAATGCTTGATAAAGAGAATAACTGAAATAACATTCAACACTTTCTATATATTATCGCACAGTATTAGAGCCAGGATTATTTTTCCCCCGTTTTTATGTCAATAATACATTCGTTATATGCCATATGTCAGATTCAATACAGATTAAAAGCCCGAAAGATAAGTATAATTTGTCTCCAGTAGAAATAGTCACTGTTATGACTAAGAAAGCTTGACTTACAGAATTTGATCGTAGTGATCCTGAGTTGTGGTTTTCTCAACTAGAGCATTATTGCACGAGGGACAATATTAAATATGAAGAGATTGGGTACCAATATATATGTTCAGTCCTCCCCCCTTTAGTTCCTATTGAAGTCCGCAACTTAGTTTTGTGTCCCTAAACGTCACAATCGCACACCATTTGTAGACGTGAGATAATGAACCGTATATCTTTATCAGACGGCTGAAGAGCCTAAAGTCTTTTATAGGGAGAAATATTGGGTGATAGGTCACCAAATTTCTTACGTCACCTCCAATTCCTAGAGGGCGGCAATATTGTGGGTGAAGCAGTCCTAAAACAAGGATGGATACATGCTACGTTCAATACTGTTTGCCTCGTTTAGCACGCAATGCAGAAAAAGCAATGTAGAGGGGTCTCGCAACTGGATCATGTATGATATTTCATCAACAAAATGAATCATCAATGAGCTCAGTCATGGTAGAACTGATTGGGAGTATGATAAGTCTTAAAGAGACTATCTTTATAATGCAAACAGATTATAGAAACAGAAGCGAATCACCGCGAAAACCGAGATGAATGTCACAGAGCGATTCAAAAATGTCCAGACAATTTGAACACTTCTGTTGGTAGCATTAGAGGCTTGGTGCCAAATCAACAAGGTGCAGTCAGCCATGTACCTGACCCAAACAGGCTGTCAAAAATATAGGAAACTTATAAGCACTAAAAAGGCCGTAATTATTCAGGAGAGGTGTCAGAGAATTCGCTTGTTTTATGTTAGGTACAAAAACTCAGACCTGAACTTTTTGGTAGGTAACTGTGCTGCACTTAGTACCATTCCTCAGAAGATCGAGCTGGATCAAAAAATTTCCCGAGATGAAATTTAAGCTGCCAACAAAACTAAAATTGTGACGTTTGGGCAGAATACACCGATGCAGACTTTTCATTTAGGAGGAAATTCCCTAATGCTTTCACCGCAGTAGATTTGGATCTGGTAATACTGGGAATAGACTTTTTAAAGAGAGATGATTTTCTAGTCGACACTAAGACACGACGTTTTACACTTGAAGAAAATTCGAGTTAATTTATTCAAAGAATGTCACATCACTTCTCTAAATTTGATAAGAACTCCACTAATAACAACTGCGAAATTTTAGACTATACTGGGGGAAATTCCAACCCATACACAACCTCCAACTTTTCAAAAGTAAGGTAAAGATAAGTCATACAATCAGAACTCAAAGGGCACTTGTATTTGCTAGATTCAAAGGACTACCATCAGATAAGCTTAAAATCATTATAGCTGAGTTGGACTACATGCTACAGCTGTTTATTATCCGTCCCTCTGGTAGCCAAACGGAATTTCATGCAAACATGGTTGCAACGAAAAATGAGAATGATCGTCGACTATATGGAAATTACATATCCCGGGGTTGACAAACCGAACCAGATAGGTACCCAATAACCCATATTCAGGATTTTACAAACGGCTTACAGTGTATGGACATATTTATTGAAACTGACTTGGTCATGGAGTATCACAATATCCCAGTAGCTGAGGAAGATATCCCCAAGAATAAGATTACTACATCTTTTGGACCGTCCGAGTTTTGACGCATGCCATTCGACATGAAAAACGCAACACAGACAACCTACTTCGGGATGGGTTTTTTTGTACAAGGGAATACAGACAATTTGTTAATTACCAGTCCAATTTTTAATCACGTGAACGACACGTGAGAGCTATTTTATAACGGACAGATGTAAAACGAATGAAAATGCATGAATGTAGGTATTTTTTTAGTGTCCAAACTTTATAATTCTCCGGACACAATAAACCTAGGCGGGATTATACCGATTACAGAAGAGTTAGATATCAACATGCAGTAATCCACACTAAGTTCTTGAACACAACTTAGAATTTTTTCTTAGGTTCAGTTGACTTTTGTCATAGATTCATACATCGTTGCGAACAACTAATAGAATTATTAACAAATTTCCTCAAGAGAAAACCTAAGGAATTTAAGCTGAGTTCTGAGGCTGTCAAACTCTGCCTGTGGCTCTTCTAGGGCTACTACATGCGCAAGTCAAGGTAAAGGAGGAGGGTTGGTCATGGGGTTGGCAAACCCATCCTGTAGAAAACAATCTTGCTAAAAAACAACAATCAGAATAAATAAGTTAAATCATTTAAACTCTGCCCTGAAAATCCTAGGAAAAATTATGATGGGTCATGATGAAAGCCAAAATTCTCCGGAAGTCATGAGGTTGATGCCCCTTCTGACAACCACAGCAACCATTTATTTAGGTACATAGAATGCTCGTACAGTGTGGGGGACCGGGAGGGGGCAGTCAAATAGCAACGGAAATGAGGAGATACAAATTGGCAGTACTCGGAATTAGCGAAACCCATCTGACCCAAGCTAGACAACAAAGGCTGGATACGGGAGAGCTGCTGTTATACTGCGGCTACGGAGAGGAAAATGCTCCACACACTCACAGAGTTGCTATAATGCTGTCCAAAGTAGCACGAAATACACTTGTAAGATGGGAATCTCACGGATCCAGAATCATCAAAGCATCATTCAAAACAAAGGTGGGGGGAATCACAATGAATGCTACACAGTGTTATTCACCCACCAATGATTGTTGAGATGACGATAAAGATCAGTTTTACGAGAGGCTGAAATAAACCATAGCAAAGTGCCCAGGAAAAGACCTCACCAATCTGACGGGAGATCTAAACGCCAAAGGCGGAATAGGCAACACCGGATATGAAGATACCATGGGACGACATGGACTGGGTGAGAAAAACGAAAATGGAGAAAGATTTGCAAATCTGTGTGCATTCAACAAATTGGTCATAGGAGGCACAATATTTCCACATGAACGTATACACAAAGCTACATGTATCTCACCGGACCACACTACAGAGAACCAGATAAATCGTATTCGCATCAACAAAAAGTTGCGAAGGACAATGGAAGAAGTGAGAAGCAAGAGAGGAGCTTATATAGCTTCAGATCACCACCTAGTTGTTTCCAATTCAAAACTGAAGCTAAAGACGAACTGGACAACTGGACAAAAACACCACACGGGTTCAATACAGACTTCTTTCGAGATACTAACAAATTCAACGAATTCAAGATAACTTTCAACAACAGGTTCCAAGCTGTATAAGATCTACTGAAAGAAGAAGAAACTACTATGGAGGACAACTGGAAAGGTATCAAGAAAGCACTTAATTCATCGTATCGGGAGGTTCTGGGACGAAAGAAGCATCACCACGATGAATGGATCTTGATTGATATCCTGGACAGGAATCAAGGAAGGAAGAACAATAAGACAGAAATTAACAACAGTCGAATAAGAGCAGATAAATTCAAGGCGCAAGCTGAATACACGGAAGCAAATAAGCAAATTATGAAGAGCAATAAAGCTGAGAAGCAGAAATCTGTGAAAGAAATAGCAACGACGGTGGAAAAATCTACAAGAGAAGGAAATAAGAGACAATTATATGAAACGACGATAAAATTGGCAGAGAAATATACTAAACTAGAGAGACCGGTCAAGGACAAAGAAGGCAGGCCAATCACTGAAATTCAAGAAGAGTGGAATAGATGTGTAGAGTACTTCAAGGAATTCTTTAATAGGCACGCTCCAATGAATCCACCGGAGATCGAAGCAACACGCACAGGTTTTTCTATAGATGTCAGTCCACCAACGACGGAAGAAATCAGAATGACCATCAGACAAATCAAGTGTGGGAAAGCAGCATGACCCAGCTGAATCACTGAAGTGAGACATATGAGAAGATTTCACTGTACGAAATCAATGTCCAACTACCACTAAAATATTTTGCTTTTTCAACTTGTGTAGTAGTTTTTTACATTAAGGATAAACTTAGGTTAGAACCCTTTCAGTTGTGCTTTACACTTAAGATTCTTGGGAGTAATTGTACTCAAAATCATAATTCCATAGGCATTAAACCGGAGATTTAATTATTTTACAAGTAAAATCATTGGAATCTCAACTAATTTGTGATAGTCTATCTGTAAAACTACACTGTCATCATTTGTATACTACATCAACACTCACCTTCCATCTGAGACTGCTTTAAAATACTTATACCAATAACTTTATATCACTCCAGTTGTTAAATTATAAAGATTTTAAATGTTTGTTTACTATTATTGTTGATGATACTTATTAAACTATCCTTCATGTTGATATTTTACCTTTAGGCTATTCTAATTAGATTAGTAGGTTACAAAACAATTTAAAACATACCTGAAGACAGATCTATCACAGTAATTCTTGTTGTTATTATGTGCGGTTTATATTTCTTTTCTCTACTTTAGTTATTAATGTCTATAATTAGCGAGTAACAGTACTAGATTCGCCCTTCATTGCGTTTTTCATTCCTAAACACGACGTTC